CCTGATTCCAAGTCATCTCAGTCTTCACTTTCTGCCCCCTTAACTTTGCTTCATCCTTCTTCTTTCTCTAATGTCTCTTCTTCCCAGATCTATGAATAGTGTAATAAGCCTAGTATTCAGTTAGCCAGTTATAGTTAGTCAAGCTGTTTAGATTCAGTTACAAGTTGGTTATACCACTTCTCTATAAATACTGATGTACTGGTATTATGTGATTAATGAAAATCCTTCTACTTCATTTTATTCTCACTGCGAAAGCACGCCAGCTCAAATCCGAGCTCTACAATACTGGTAAAGGAGATCGCTCGATTGAAGAGTATCTTCTTCGGATTCAAACAACTGTTGATAATCTGAGTTTGATTGGTGAGCCAATTTCCACTAAAGAACATGTGAATGTTATCCTTGAGGGACTTCCAGAGGAATATGAATCTATTGTATCATTTGTATCCTCTCGTAGTCTCCTTGATCCGATAACTGTTTCAGAACTTGAACCTCAGCTTTTACTCAAAGAAATGCGTCTGAAAAAGCATCGTGAAGCAACTACTCCTGCTATTTTTTCTGCTAATGTCGCTCATACTGAAAACACATCTCAAACCTCCAGTTCAGAAATTGTCACAGCAACCGAATCTTCTTCTGCAAATATGGCACAATTTCATAACCCTAATCAGTCGAATCCGTATAGAGGAAGAGGTCGTGGAGGCCCAAACAGAGGTAGAGGTGGTCGTTTTGGAAATCGAAGCTCAGTAATATGTCAGGTGTGTGGAAAGTCTGGACATCATGCCCTAATTTGTCATCATCGCTACAATCCTAATTTTACCTATCCAAACCCTAATCCAATTTACACCAATTCTAACTATGGACCTTCAAGTCACTGTAACTCACAAGCACCTAATTCATATACTCCATCTCACTTCAACCATTCACCCTACTATACTCCAAGACAGAATATACCTCAACACTTCAGCTCTTCAGCTCTTGGGCATCTTCCTAACCATCAATCTACAGCTCAAGAGACTTTCAATTGGGATCAGCACTCAGCCAGACCTCTACCATCTGCAGCATTTTTTAGTACAAACTCTGTTCTTGGACCACCTCCATCTTCTCAACAATGGTTCCCTGATTCAGGTGCTACTCACCATGTGACTGCTGATCCACTCAATTTTCAGCACAGTGAACCTCTTTATGGGTAATGGTCAATGTGTGGATATCAAATCTATTGGTTTTTCTTCCTTTCTATCTCCCTATTCTATGTCTCAGTCTCTTATGTTAACTAATATGCTTCATGTCCCTTCTATAACCAAAAATCTCATGAGTGTTAGTAAATTTGCTAAAGACAACAATGTTTTCTTTGAATTCCATCCTTATGATTGTTATGTCAAATCCCAGGCTTCTAAACAGGTTCTTCTACATGGAGTTCTTGGTGCTGATGGTTTATACAAGTTCCAGTCCATACCTCCTCTTGGTTTACATCAATTCAAAGATGCAAGTCTGTCTACCTCAATAGTGTCCACAACAAACACCCCTTTGTATCCCCTTTCTTTTGTTTCCACTTATAATGCGTCTACCTCTTGTAATAATGCCTCAGTTTCTTGTAATGTTTGGCACCTAAGATTAGGCCATCCACATTTGGAAGCACTGAAATCTGTACTCAACACTTGTAATGTGTCTGGCATAAATAAAAGTGATGTTTCATTCTGTTCTTCTTGTTGTCTTGGTAAGGCTCACAGACTACCCTCACACTCATCTCATACTGTCTATAAATCCCCATTTGATCTTATCTTTACAGACTTATGGGGCCCAGTCCCCATGTATTCATTTGATGGATATTCATATTACATCTCCTTCATTGATGCATGTACCCGATATACTTGGATATATTTTCTAAAGAAGAAATCTGATGCCATAACAGCCTTTCAGAACTTCCATAAATATGTTCAAACTCAATTATCCAAATCCATCAAATCTGTTCAGTCTGACTGGGGAGGTGAGTTCAGATCCTTTACCACCTTTCTTGTTGAGAATGGAAAAACACATAGGCTTATTTGTCCACATACACATCACCAGAATGGTGTTGTGGAAAGAAAACACAAGACTATAGTTGAGAAAGGCTTTTCCATTCTTGCTCATTCCTCATTACCTTTAAAATTCTGGGATGCTGCCTTCTCCACCTCAGTTTATCTTATCAATAGAACTCCATCCACTTCCATTGCCAACTCAAGTCCATATTTTCAACTCCATGGAACCAGTCTAGATTACTCTCTACTAAAAGTATTTGGTTGTTCTTGCTATCCATTCATTAGACCCTACAACAAACATAAAATGGCCTTTCATTCAGAAGAGTGCATCTTTATAGGTTACTCACCTCAGCACAAAGGCTATAAATGCCTCTCCTCTTCTGGCAAAATCTACATCTCTAAGGATGTTACCTTTCATGAGGCAAGATTTCCTTACTCTATTCTTTTCCCATCCACCTCTCCTGATTCCAAGTCATCTCAGTCTTCACTTTCTGCCCCCTTAACTGTGCTTCATCCTTCTTCTTTCTCTAATGTCTCTTCTTCCCAGATCACTGAACCACAATCTACTTCTTCTCAAAGTCAAAGTCTGTCCCATACATCTTCTTCCAACTTTCAGAATTCTAACTTACCAAAACCATATGTCTCCACCCCAATCTCCAAATAACTCAATCCAGTTTTCACAACATATTTCTCCTACAACTTCATCTTCTTCTCCTATTCCAACTAACACTCATCCTATGCAAACTAGGGCAAAGTCAGGAATTGTTAAACCTAGATTGAATCCCACCTTACTGTTAGCTCATACTGAGCCTAAATCAGTTAAGCAAGCTTTATCTTCTCCACAATGGTTTTCTGCTATGCAGGCTGAATATGATGCACTGATAGCAAACCATACATGGTCTCTTGTTCCTCTGCCACCAAACAAACAAGCTGTTGGATGTAAATGGGTTTTTAGAGTCAAAGAAAATACTGATGGTTCTCTAAACAAGTTCAAAGCCAGACTAGTAGCCAAAGGATTTCATCAAAGATTTGGATTTGATTTTGGAGAAACCTTTTCCCCTGTTGTAAAACCCATTACAATCAGAATCTTGCTCACTCTAGCTATATCTCACAAATGGTCAATTCAACAGCTTGATGTGAATAATGCCTTTTTAAATAGCAATCTAGAGGAAGAGGTCTATATGGTTCAACCTCCAGGCTTTGAAGTCAAGGATAACTCTCTTGTTTGCAAACTGCATAAGTCACTATATGGACTTAAACATGCCCCCAGAGCTTGGTTTCAAAAGCTAACCTCTGTTCTCTATGCTGCTGGATTTAAGTAAAGCAAATGGGATCCCTCTCTGCTTACCTTTCTACAGTCTGGAGTTCAAATCTACATTCTGATCTATGTAGATGATATCTTGGTCATTGGGAATAATCACACTGCTATTCAACAACTCATTCATAAGCTCAATTCATCCTTTTCTTTGAAACACTTGGGGGAAATTGACTTCTTTCTAGGTATTGAAGTTAGGAGACAAAGTAATGGGAGTTTACATTTATCTCAAACCAAATACATCAGAGATCTTCTACACAAAGCTGGAATGCTTGAATCCAAAGGAGTCAAAACTCCTATGGTTAGTAACTGCAAACTCACCAACACAGGTAGTAATCCTCTACCTGACCCTTCTACCTACAGATCAATTGTTGGGGCCTTACAGTATGCAACTCTCACACAGCCAGAAATTAGCTTTGCAGTTAATAAAGTTTGTCAATTCATGGCCACACCTCTACAGGATCATTTGCAAGCTGTCAAACACATTCTCAGATATCTCTCTGGTACCATAACCCATGGTATTATTATCAAACCCTTGCCCCTTGCCACTATTCCTTTGCCAATCTCAGTCTTTTGTGATGCTGATTGGGCATCTGATCATGTTGATAGAAGGTCCACTTCTGAATCCTGCATTTTCCTTGGTCCAAACATTATTTCCTTGTGGTCAAAGAAGCAAGTGAGGGTTGCAAGGTCTTCAGCAGAAGCTGAGTATAGAAGCTTGGCTGACACAGTTGCTGAACTTTTATGGATCCAATCTCTGCTTAAGGAACTTCAAGTTCCTTTCACTATTCCCAAAGTTTACTGTGATAACCTTAGCACAGTACAACTTGCACATAATCCAGTACTTCATTCTCGCATCAAACACATGGAGATTGACCTATTCTTTGTCAGGGAACAAGTTCAGTCTAAACAGCTTGAAGTATATCACATTCCAGCCCCCTATCAAATTGCTATGTTCTTACAAAACCATTGACTGCCTCATCCTTCCTTGAGCTCAAGACCAAACTTAGTGTGATTGATGTTCCACATCAATCACCCTAACTTTGTGGGGGGAATGTTAGAGATACTATATCTATGAATAGTGTAATAAGCCTAGTATTCAGTTAGCCAGTTATAGTTAGTCAAGCTGTTTAGATTCAGTTACAAGTTGGTTATACCACTTCTCTATAAATACTGATGTACTGGTATTATGTGATTAATGAAAATCCTTCTACTTCATTTTATATTCTGGCTACTTTTCTAATAGACCTTAATCAAGAATCCCGTTTTGTGCACTAAGAATCATGCGTGAAATATCTATCAACAATTGACGAATTTGTTGAGCAGGGAACAAAAACTCCATGAAAGAAAAGTTGAGCAAGTAAAAGTGAATGAAGATGTTGTACATACTATTTAGATTAATACTCAGCAAACTCGTCTTGTTGACCCCCTCCTGCTATTTCATCACACTAATATTTTATTCCAACTTAGATATGTTACTCGTAGATATGTGATTGGTATAAGTGTGAGACCAAAGAGGGTCTTAATAAGAGAGACCGTTGAAACATTATGTCATGTTTTATGCTCTAAGATACATGTTGAGTAAAAGCAAACACTTGCAATCACATCAATCATTTAGCAAACACAATAATCACACTTGAATTCACAAGAACATCGGAAGAGAATATAAGTATGTTGAATGTTCTTTTTTATATATTCCTTTAAGATTTTGAGCGTCTTGTGCATCTCAACAACATCCTCAGTCCTCACTTCCATAAACTAATCAAGTAATCATGCCAAATAAGAATTCGATATACTTTTTTAAAATAATTTGGTGATTCATTCACATTAATCATTTAGCGAACCCCTCATGCTTAATGTCAAAAAATAGTAATACAAAAAGACAAAGAACAAACGTATAAACAAATAGTAATACGTGAACTAATACTCCACCTAGATTTCAACAAATAACACACGAGTTGGGATCCTCCTCCACACTCGTAGCGTTGTGATAGGCACTTGGTGGGTATTGAGTATTATAATAAGGTTGTCGTTGTTGTTGTTGATAGTAATAAGGATGATATTGATAAGGCATTGGTGGTAACTGTACAACTTCTTGTTTTCCTCCATCTTGCTTCTTGGGATCCCCTCCTTTCTTCTTCTCCTCTCCCTTTTTTGGCTCTTCTGTCTTCTTCTTCTCCTCCTCCTTCGCAGGACCCACTGAAAAAATTTCTGTGCGACAAAACTTCCTCAGCATTGCCACCACCTTCACCGGATCTATGTCCCCGATTATTGTCAATTTTTTGTCTTGTCGGTCCATTGCTATAGATTCAAGCCCTTCATTTTTCCAATAAAATATTATCAGCCCACAAGCTTTATAACACACTGGTAGGTAGCATGAAAGATATGCAGAGTACCTAGCTATGAAAGCAACAAACTAGTCATAACTAGATTTGCTTATGCATTTTGGTACCTAGCTATGATTGCAACAAACTAGTACCATAAATTCATTTTATATAATAACGAAAGTATTCAACATTCTGGATTCCGCTGCCTACCCTCCCAAGAACATTATACATAGTATGTTTATAACGAATTCACATTATGAGTGTGATCCATTGCGGATCAAATCCGAAGGAAATTAGAATTGTAGGTAATCTAATCACTATAACAAAGCAGAGAATGACACTTGGCTCATGATCACTCCATTAACTACTTTTTAGCATCATTATTACTATGGAAATCAAGGAACCAAGCCTGGCAATTTTGGTTGAAACCTTAATGATACCATCGGCAACACTTGAATGATGTACTTCATTTAACAATATATCAATAATTAAGATATCATTTGGGGTCGAGCTAGAGATGCAAATCATTTGAAGATTGTCTTAAAGAAATTATTATATTGAGGGGCCAAAACTTAATTTTTTTACAAGTATTTATACATATATTTTTACAAACACAAATTTGGTTTTCTTGGGGACCGGGGCCTCCCTCCAGCGCCGGCCCTGTAATTGCGCTCTAAGCTTTACTTCAAGAAAATATCAACTTTTTCCCTTACTGTTTTGGCCCAAACTTCCAATTTAAAAAGAGGGAATCTTTTTTGCAACACATTGAATTACCTGAGATTCCGGAGACAGTTTTCATGGCCTTTTGTTTCATTTTCTCATCAGCGAACTCCAATTTCAACACCACTTTCTGTCGTTAGAAAAAACATTAATTAATATGAATGGGTCAAAACTAAATACATTAATTTAAGAAAAAAAGAAGAAGAAAGAAGAGCATTACTAACCTTCATCCTCGTTCACGAAACTTCGCAATCGGTGATAAGAGAGTGTTTTTGTGTTTGCTAAAGAAGATTGAAATGAAAATATAACAATTCAGATGAATCCAAGAAGAAGATAGTAGAGAGAGTAGTGAGAATGCAGGCAATTTATAGGATGAGGTCAAGAACATTTTTTGGTGAGCGCGAGGGACTAGCCAGTGGTCAGCAATTTGGTTCTGTGTTGGTGCAGGGAAGCTTCTCCGAGAAGATTTGATTAATTACAACTGACAAGTGGTATGCCAAATTTGACCAAAATCTACTTCCTCCTCTGTCCCGAATTGAATCGCAAACTTTGACCGACACAAGTATTAATGAATGACAATAAATGATGTTTGCTTTTTACACTTTTGCTCATCTTTCTAAAAGTAGATGTCTTTAAGTTAATGAGGAAAAAGTAAAAGTAAGGGTAAATTTGTCACTTTATTCTTATTTACATACCTAAAATAAAAAGTGGAAAACCATTTTGGGACAACCAAAATAGGAAATTTTGCCAATCAAATTGAGACGGAGGGAGTATAACATATACCCAGTAGGGGTGGGGCAAAATGTTTTGGTTTAATTCAACCGAACCCAACCAAACATAAAATTGTTTCGATCCGAAGGGGTACGGTGTATTTTGTTGGGCTATGCGTCCGAATATAGGGGTACCGATGTTTTGATTTTATTTCTGGTCGGATTTATATTAGTAGAAATGTCACATTTTTAGAAAATGTTTTTCCTTATTTTGATCTAGTCCGTACTTCTGTGATTTCTACTCCCCCTCTCATTTACCATCCTAGCCGAGACCAGCAGCACCCACTGTGTGCAGCATCACCATCGCCATCCCTGCTGCAACCTCAGCCAGTCCACGACCAGCCCATCATTCCCAACCTGCCATCTTTCCCATACAGCCAGACCTCAGCAACCAGTGGCTCGGCCTCTGGTGCGATTTCAAGTCCGACCAACTCCTCAACCCCAGCATCCCCTTCCTCTCCATTTCCTCAGCCCACACTCCCCCCTGATCGAGAGCTCAGCTGTCCAGTCCACCGCACCACCACTCGTGAGTTCTTCCCCGATTTTTAATATTCATCCAATGCAAACCCGGTCCAAATCCGGAATTTTTAAACCGAAAATTATTTTTAACTTAAACACAGTTGTTAGCACACCTGATCTCACATGTTTTTCTTCTACAAATAAACATCTTAAGTTGAGAGCCGCTATGGTTGAGGAATTTAATGCCCTTATAGCTAATCATACTTGGGATTTAGTACCATTTGATGCTAAAAAGAATGTGGTTGGGTCTAAATGGATGATGGAAAGTGTACCCGGGGGTAGCTTATCCGAGGGGTTATTACGGAGAATAACTGGAGAGAAGTCAGAGCAAGTAAGTGTAGAGAGAGAAAGTATATTAGAAAGTGTTCAGTGTTTTCAGCGTATTGTGACTTGGTTACAAATGGGGAAATGAGGTGCTATTTATAGTAGCAATAAATGCCGGACAGGGACACGTGTCAAGCGTCCATTGGCCGAGAGGTCGCCTCAACTGGTTGGCACTGGCAAACGCATGTGGCCGCATTTAATGTGGCTGTTGGATGGGACGTTGTACAGGGTACGGTGATCTGTACGCATGTGGCGCGGATATCATGTCGGGAAAGGTGCCCTCGGTTGTAGAGGACAAGCCGAGGGCTCTGAGTACCGGGGACCCCCTTGGTGCCGAGGGCTCCAAGTGTCGAGGGCTACTCATTTTCGCCGTTTTTCCTAGTAACTTTGTTTTGTTGTCTTGGCCCTCCTGTGAGAGTTAGAGCCTTCGGCCAGGGGGGCGAAGGCACCCCTGGTGCGCATTTGTGGGCTGCTTGGTATCTTGGGCATCGTGATTTGGGCCTGTTGTGTTTCCTGGGCCTATTGGACCTTTATTGGAGTAGTAAGAGTCTGTGGGCCGGGGGTTCCCGGGCCATATACTGAGGTAAAAGGAGTAGTTGTGTTTGTCCTCTGCCGTTGTTCCGTTGTAGTTTTGTAGAGTTGTGGGTAGTTTGTTGTTTGTCTATTCTGCCGAGGGCAGACCCTCAGTTACCCACATGTCGGGACTTGAGGGGTCATGTTTGTGATTTTCCCGAGGGGGTCCTCCAGTCCCCCACTCCTTGAGGCACTTGCAAAGTGGTGAAAAGGAGTAGAGTAGAGTAGTTGCTGTTTTGGGCCGAAGGCTGACGCTTTTCGTTTCATTTTGGGGGGATGCCTCGTTAAAAACCTCATTAGGAAAAACCCTGTAAGAAAAAATCCTAATGAGGGAAAAAGAGTGCACCGAATTCCCCCAACGATGAATCGAAAATGTGAAACCTTGGTTCGAAATGGAGAATAAGGATGATGCCGAAGGCTTTCCCTGTTCTGAGGGCTCATGTGTTGATTAGCCGAAGGCTTGTTGTTGATGTCCTGGGAGGTGCCGAATGAGGGTCCCTCAATCTGGGGATCGAGGGCGTCATGAATGTGAGTATCAGTTGAAGTGTTACCGGGGTGTCCCCCGTTTGTTGGTTAGTTGGTGAGGAGGGTATCCGAGGGTTCCCGTTACCTGTGTGCCGTAGGCTATCCGCCAATGAGGCATACTCCCCGGGGGCTACCCGGCCCTCAAAGTGCTGAGGGGGAATCCCCGAGGGGTGGCCTGATATGGAGCCTTGGGCTCCTGAAGGAGTGATCCCGAAGGCATCTGTTATGTAGTGTGTGGGGCACAAACCGGGAGTGTCTCCGGGTAAGTGTACCCGGGGGCTCTTCTTGATGAAGTGGAGTGAAGTAAAAAGCCCGGGGGCCAGCGTTTCTTGGTTGATGAGGGAGTAGTTTGTCAAGTGTAGCCGGGAGCTCCCAGAATATAGCCGTTGGAAATATAGCCGTTGGAATACCTAACGTCAGAATATAGCCGTTGGGGGGGGGGGGGGGTTGCCACGTAGTGTGTGCTCGTTGGCTGTCCGCGGGCGGGCGTCACTGATTGGGCGAAACCACGGTTCGTAATGATGGCAGTCCAACCGGAGGCCCGGTTTCCAGGCCCAAGCCCGGATCCCCGTGCCTATAAATACCCCATGGCCGGCTTCCCTTCCCCTTGTGCGAAATCTTTGTAGCGAAGCTCTGCCCAATTTTCTAGAGAGAGAAATCCAGCCTTCGGTTGATTCCCAGCTCTTAAGGTTAGTTCCCCCCTGCTTTTCTCCTCCTATCTAGCTGTGCCCTGTGCCTTTAGGCTAGGAGTTAGAACTTTTTAGGATACTTAGCATTTCCGAGCCCTCGAACTAGTGCCAAGATGTCTTCCCAAAGTGATTCCCAGGACATCTCGGGGGCGCCCTCGAAGGAGGATGAAGTCATCTCGGACGTGGAGTCCTCAAGCGAACAGCCCTCTGCAGGACAAGACGCTGTCGTCGCCATGGAGTTGCAGAAAGCCCTCGTTGTTGAGGCGGAAGCCGAGGGCTTCGAACAAGAGTGTGAAGACGAAGAGCTGGCCCTCGCCTGGCAAGTAGCTGAGGAAGAGGCGTAGAAAGAGGGCGCGAGGGTCACTGTTGCTGTTCTCCCCCCTCGGGGCACTGGCGAGGCCAGCACCTCTCGGCCGCTGAACGCGGTTCCCATCCGGGTGGCCCCCGGAAAAAAGAAGGCGAAGGTTGTTGCCCCCAAGAAGAAGGGCAGCGTTGCAGACCGAGGGAAGCCCCTCGATATGCCCGAGGGGTATTCCTACTTGAACACCGCCGCCTTAGAGATAAGGTCGAAAGCTGATGCGGCGGATCTTTATGTCACTCAATTACACGTGGGCCCCTCGGCCATCGTGGTGGCACCGGGTCCTGATGACGTCCTCTCCCGGGCTCCCGAGGGCTGCATTGCGGTGCACATCCTCTCCGTGTCGATGGGGCTCCGGTCCCCCCTACATCCCTTCCTCCGGGAGTACCTCCGGTTCGTGGGTTTGGTCCCCTGCCAACTGACCCCGAACAGCCATTCCTACATCACGGGTTTCCTCCAGCTCTGCAAATCCCGGGGGGTAACACCTAGCCTGGATCTCTTCTTCCAAAGCTTCAACCTGTGCTGGGGGGGCATGCGAACGCCGAGGGCTTCGCAAACCTGCAGCAGGTGGCATTGTTCAAGCTTTTTACTGAGAAGCCCTCCTCGAACAAAGGGTGGAAAGACCGGTGGTGTTACGTGAAGTTGTCCGAGAGCCCCTTTCCGAGGGAATTGCGTGACCGGTTTAGGAGGCATGAGAAGAGGAGGAGCGCCGCCCTCGAGAAAGATGGCAGGGTCCTAGCAGAGATCCCGGAGGGCCGGGACAAAAACATAACCATCAAGGAGTGCACCCAAGAGGAGGATCTCTACACCCTCGGGTTCCGGCGGTATCGCTTCCTGGGGGAAACAGATGAGAAGTTCCCTGCATTTGAGGGAGCCTCCGGAGGTAGTGGCTGAGGGCACCCTCGTTTTCGTACCTTAGCACATAGTTTGTTTGTTGTTTGTTCTTTTTTTGTGCCATCGGTTAGTGACCCCTCGGTTTTAACCCCGTATTGTTTTGCAGGTATCCTAGTCAACATGATGAACGTCAGGGGGCTCGCTGATTTAAAGAAGAAAAAGTCCTCCAAGGCCCCGAAGGGAACGGATGTTGGCGTCCCAAAACCCGCCGGTGACTTCTTCAAGAAGCCGGAGGGGCCGTCGGCGGCCCCAAACACTGACGCTGCTGCTGCTACCAAGAGAAAAAGCGCGGGCAAGGCTCCCGAGGGCAAAAGGCCGAAGACGGGAGATGCCGAGAGGAAAGGTCCCCTCGTGGTTATTGTTGACGATTGTCTCGCCTCCGGGGCGCATGATGAGGAGATGACGGTGGCGGAGGTGCTGGGGGGGTGTCCGGGAGCCATCTTCTGAGGTCCTGATGGTTTCCCTCCCGGTAGGAACGGCCATGACGAATTGCACGGCTGACCCGAGGGTGCTTCTGAGGGGTATGACCCCTGAGATTGACAGAGCAGCCCTCAGGGCTGATGATGACCAAGCCCTTGAGGACAGGATCCTCCGGTCTTCCCTCACGGTAAGTTTTTGACAGTTTACCGTTTTTACTTTGTGCTAGGAAATAATGTACGGCCTTCCTAACTTCTGTATTTTTTGTAGACCTGCATTGCCCTCGGAGAGCAGGTCCGGAGGCTAGAGGAGTGGCGTCTTCGCAAGGCCGAGCAGGATGCCAAGATGCGGGAGCTCATCTGCCAGAATTCTGATGCCATCCGGCAGATGGCT